AGATACAGATAGAGAGATACAAGTAAAGATACAGATAGAGAGATACAAGTAAAGATACGGATAGAGAGATACACGTAAAGATACGGATAGAGAGATAAAAGTACAGATACAGATAGAGAAATACAAGTAAAGATACAGATAGAGAGATACAAGTAAAGTTACAGATAGAGAGATACAAGTAAAGATACGGATAGAGAGATACACGTAAAGATACGGATAGAGAGATACAAGTACAGATACAGATAGAGAAATACAAGTAAGATACAGATAGAGAAATACAAGTAAAGATACAGATAGAGAGATACAAGTAAAGATACAGATAGAGAGATACAAGTAAAGATACGGATAGAGATACAAGTAAAGATACAGATAGAGAGATACAAGTAAAGATACAGATAGAGAGATACAAGTAAAAATACAGCCAGAGATACNGCCTATAATTATATTATAATATATATGAATAATACATATATACAGTATTATTATTATCAAGCAGCGTATAAGAAGGAGAGGTAGGTACGAATAAAAATGCGAAAACCGATGTTGCAGTATTACGTCGCGGCTTACTACGACTCTGTATTAGCTCGAATTAATAAAACTTCCGATAAACTTTATGTTGACGATTCTTTGCAGTATTATGATCAGCTGTCTAACCTTGTCATATAAAACAACCGCCATGTCCTATTTGAATGCCCCCTAACGCTGCAGACATAATAGCTGGTGGAAAATCTTGGTATTTTCGCGAACCGGACTTCGAGATCAGTCAATACTGCCCGTCCCTCACTCGAAGTGTTCAGTGTGTTGATTTCCGGTCGCGCTGTGATAGCCGCCATAGTGGCGCTGATCATGCTAATTGACTACCATCGTTTACTATAAATCCAGCGTCGAGGTGGCGCGTGAGGTCGGGCACAGGTGGGGGTCACACTATGGCCAATCAATAACAGACGTCATTTCATTCCATTTGTCATATCATTGCACGGAAACACGCGGTGTTGTTACCGAAAGTTATAAACACTTCGAGTGAGGACGCAGAATTGACTGATCTCGAGTCGGGTCTTCGGCGAAAATACCAGGCATTTTCACCCGCCCCTCATTATCTCAGCGTAGGCGGCCATCATAGCGGACATGCGCGTTTGTTTTAATATGAACAAGGGTGAAGTTCTTTGATCAATAATACTGCAAAGAATTCGTCAAAATAAAGTTATTCGGGAAAGTTTATTAATTCGACTCAATATGCAGTTGTTCAGCATTTTACGTTGTACGCTCATACCTTCTTTACTTACCTGCTATTTGAATATTATATATATATTATATATATATATGCATATATTAATATATATATATATCATAGTCACATTCACACGCGTATGTTTGGCTCGGCAGCCAATATGCGGCTAGATTTGGCTCTGGGCGGTTGAGGTCGGAGCGTTCACACCGTACGCAAGTGATACTGTCTGTCAAATTCAAAATTCAATTCAAATAATTTTATTGCTACAAATAATCTTCACCATTATATTTGGACGTTATGTCGCGAGATTGGCCAGTTGTTTACGATTTCAGGTGTTTACTTACCGTTCGATGTTTAATTAATCAATTCTTGAAAAACATGGCATCCTGATCAAATTTCCTTTCGAATTTTTATACTGTTGCTGGACTTTATTCGTCGAATCGCGTTTCGACACTCGCCGTGTGCCATCTACCGCTCAACCGATTTCTACCGACCTCGCCCCCGAAAGCTGGCTGCCTAAAATTTGGCTTGGGCCTGCGTCCGACGTTTTCGATGGGACCAAATCTGCGCACGGGCCTAATTAGGGCTCGGGCCAAAGACGTCCGTCGTGAACGGCCTCGGCGTCGAAGCAAATTCTTGCGCGCAGGGCTAAATTAGGCGCTCGGGCCAAAACGTCCGCTGTGAACGCGCCTTATATGTATATATATATATATATTTATATATATATATTTATATTGATATACAGTGTTGCTCACGTTAGTAATGCGATGTGGGGTCCTAAATGTTCCAGTCGCTGAAAAAAGCTTGCGGCATTATTAAGGTTTTGTTCGGGCCAAAAACGTCCGTGTGAACGCTCGGCTCGAGCCAATCTCGCGCGGCCTAATTAGGCTCGCCGTGCCAAAACGTCCGTGTGAACGCGCCTTATTGTATTTATATAATATATATTATATATATATTTATATATATACAGTTATGTTCGCCACGTTATAATGCGAATGGTTGGGGTCCATAAATGTCATCGCACTGAAAAAGCGGGGTTATACATACGTGGCTATATAGAGCAAAAATAACGATCATCGCGTCTATACAAATTCGCGTTACATCGTGGGCCCACGTAAACATCGGGTTTCCAATGTATATACATGTTATACATACATTAAATATATACACAGGCGTCCGTGAGTCAAATCTCCCTGATTACTGGATCGGACTCCCTGATTTTAACATATGCAGGAGGTGCCATGTGACTCCCTGAAAATTCTGTCTATACTAACTAGTTCGTTCCAGAGCACGCCTCGCGAATTGCCATAATTTGTTCAGCAACGTCCAAGACAATTTCGGCAGACGTGCAAACCGCTGAATCTTCAAAATAAAGCACTTGCCGTTATTGTAATATAATATCTGTTCAGTTTTGAACTTCAGACTGCGGACTCCTTCCACTCATTGCTGCGGACTCCTTTGTTTCAAGGTAATTCTACCCTGTTATACACATTACAGTCCGAACCTCCTTTATCCGGCCATCCATTATCCGGAAATCTCTATTAACCGCGCGATCTCGCCAGTGTATGTTCTCTGTTTTTTTTCATTTGCATTTCCACCAAAATCTCGCTCAAACTCACTCAAGCTCGCTTCAAACTTGTGCGATGTACCAAACGTACCGGCGCTTCACTGTGTTGCTTGCTGTGCGTGTCGTCCGTCGTGCGTTGCGTGTGTGTGCTTGTCCGCTCGTCGTCCGCTATTGCCCCAGTAAACTTTCTGTTTTATTTCGTTTTATTTCCATCTTCTATATAAACCATAAAATCACGACAGTTTGTTACAGCCATAAATTATAGCAACGAAGAAATATACCATTATCACAATGTATGCATAAACCCTACTGAACTGCATAGAAAATGCTGTGTTTGAGCATAACTTCATATCCGGCCAAATCCCATATCCGGATGGGTGCGGTCCGACGCTGCCCGCGGATAAAGGGAGTCATTCGGACTGTACATATATACGTATAATGCCTGGAGTGGCGAAGCCCCACCCGTATACAAAATTAATTAATTAATTAATTAATCGCATTGTTAGCGAGTGATTAATTCCTTCTGCTGTCAGGCTCCGGAACCGACGTCGCCCGTCGCCGCGGAAGTGGATCGCCGTTGGCCCAACCGCACCTCCGGCAGCGGGTGAGTGTGCAGCTGAGACGGCGGGCGCGCACGCTGGGACGTCGACGTTTCATCAGCCGCCGCCCGTCGACGATTCTCATCAACGGGACACATCTATAAACAGGAAGCCGTGCGGCTGTCGGTATGCGGGGCGCCGAGTGGTCGGATTGGGGGGCGCCGGTGTGTCGGTTTTGGAGCCGCGGTGGTCGGTTTGGGGGGTCGGATGTCGGGCGCGCAGTGGGGTCGGAATTGGTCAGCGCGGTGGTCGGGTTGGGAAGAGGGGGGTCGGATTGGGCGTGAGCTGGGGACCGGCGCGGGAGGGGGAGGCGGGGGGTGCGTGGGTGTATTTAAAAATCAATGGTAAAGATGATGTTAAGTTATGAGTTTGTTTAAGGGCAGGGATTGGATAATTCATGGTTCTTTTTATGCCTGCATCTGGTGTGCGTGTGCCTATGTGCCGCAAGTGTCCAATAAAACGACAACCAGTAAAATCTCCAGTTCTTGCTCGTTTCTCCCTCACCCCCTCTCTGTTTTCTGCAATCCTTCATCTCATCCTCTTTCCTCCCTTCCTCTCTCACTCCCCTTTCTCTCTTACCCTCGCTCTGTCTCTCTCTCTCTCTCCCTCTTTCTCAATCTCTTGCTCACGGCTCTCAACTCTCTTTCGCGCATTCTCTCTCTCGCGCTTACTTTGTTGTCTGTACAGACGCAGTCTTCATGTCCCTCAGCTACGACACCGGTCACATCTGTCAATGCAGACGAAATGCACTCACCTCCCTCCCTCCCATCCCTCCCTTCCTCCCTCCCTCCCTCCCTCTCTCCCTCTAACACTACGCCTGTGTTACAGAATATCGCAGTCTTCACGCCTCTACGACCACGATCACCACCGTGCGCGTGTCTCCCATCCCTCCCTCCCTCGCCTCCCTCCTCCCTCTCTTCCCTCTAACCACTACGCTGCTGTTTACAGACGCAGTCTTCATGCCTCAGTACGGACTACGGTCACCCGTGGCGCGTGTCCTCCCTCCTCCCTTCTCCTCCCTCCCTCCCTCCCTCCTCTAACACTGCGCTGTGTTACGACGGCAGTCTTCACGCCTCAGTTACGGGCACCGTCACCACTTGCGCATTGTCCTCCCTCCCTCCTCCTTCCTCCCTCCCTCCCTCCCTCGCCTCTCCTCCCTCCTCCCTCCCCTCCCTCCATCCCTCCCTCTAACACTACGCTGTGTTACAGACGCATCTTAATGCTCAGTACGCCTGGTCTACCACCTGTGCGACGTGTCACTCCCTCCCCTCCCCTCCCTCCTTCCCTCTCCTCCCTCCCTCCCTCCCTCCCTCCTCCTTCCCTCACATCCCTCCCTCTAACACTACGCTGTTGGTACAGACGGAGTCTTCATGCCTCATGTACGGCACCTTTCACCACTCGTGCGCGGTGTCCTCCCTTCCCTCCCTCCTTCCCTCCCTCCCCTCCCCCTCTGCTCCCTCCATCCCTCCGTCTAAACATTACGCTGTGTTACATCATCTTATATTATATATATATATATATATATATACATATACATATGTATATATATATATATATATATGTATATATGTGTGAGCACATGCTATTCTGCGTGCGCTCACCGGGCGTGCTTGCGTTTGAGCTGGAGTCTGAGGTGGGCGAGTCATCGTTGCTATAGCGATGCGAGTTCAGGCCGAGGCGTGGATGGATCGTCAGGTAGGGGTTGTTCACTCCCGGCCACACCTCCCCTCCGCTGGTGACGGGAACCTCGGCGTCCGGTGGCACCACCTGCAGGCAGTAGAAGGAAACAGTTTTTTTTTTAATTAAAAGAAGTAGAAGGACGTAGAAGTAGAAGGAAGGAAGAAGTAGTAGGAATTCCCTAAACTATCCAGCAACAGCTTACAGCAACAACAATACATGTTAGCTTACAGCAATCCTTTACAAAGAACTTACTGAACCGGACGTGACACATAAATACATGTACAAACACACGCACGCACGCCCACACGCACTCATGTACGTACACACACTTGCGCGCGTGCATAAGCTCACGTTTTCGGCGCTCTCTTGTTTCCGCGCGGCCGCTCCGTCGGCGGCGGCGGCACCACTGTGCTCGGTGGTACGCACGTCGACGTCGTTGTCGACGGGCTGTCAGGCGGCGCCCTCTGCGAAACGACGACAGCGGAACATTGTCCTTCTCGCGCAGGAAGATGAGTCGACTGACTCCCCAGTAGATCTTGAGGATGCCCTCGAGTATGCAGCGTCCGTTCCTCTGCAACGCATTTTCAACACACGGCGCCGTCACACTGCTTCTTCGCATTGTCGCTTTACACTCTCTATCTCGCTCGTCCTCGCTCTCTCTCTCTCTCTCTCTGCCTCTCTCTGTCTATCTGTGGCCTAGCTCTCTGCTCTCTGCTCTGTCTAGCCTCTCTCTCTCTCTGTCTATGGCTCTTCTCTTTTGCTCTCTCTAATTCTCTCTCTCTCTCTCTCCACAACCTGGGATGGGTGCGCTCGTCTCTCTCTCTCTCTCTCTCTCCACTCAGGTCCTCTCCGTCTCTTAGACTCACAATCTCCTCCGTGCAGGTCTCCATCCAGCGATCGGGCGTCGACTCTTCTCTCTATCCAGCTATCTCCTATCTCTCTCTCCTCTGCTCTCTCTCTTCTCTCCCTCCTCTCTCTCTCTCTCTCTCTCATCTCTCTCTCCATCTGCCTCTGTTCTCATCTCGTCTCTCTGTCATATCTCTCTCTCTCTCAACTCTCTATCTATCTACTCTCTTTCTATCTCTCTCTCTCTTTCTCTCTCTCTTGTCCTCTCTCTCTCCTCTCTCTCTCTCTCTCTGTCTACTCTCTGCTCCTCTCTCTCTCTCTCTTTCTTCTCTGTCGTCCATCGTCTCTCTCTCTCCGTCTCTATCCTGTCTTTCTCTCTCTGTGTTTCTCTTTCTCTATCATCCTCTCATTACTTAACTCATTCTCTAATCAGCTCTAAAATAACTATGACATGTGTAACGTGTAATGTTTCATTGCAGACGTGAAATCAAGTCTTATATTACATGCTATCATGATATCAATGCTTATGTTACACTTCGTAAGCTAGTTTTTTTTTTACATTTCTGTGTGTGATTTGACCAGCCTTGCCCTCATAGTAGGCATTGTATGCCTTCAGTTTCACAAGAATCTCATCGCTGAAACAAAGACGAACACCTCCATAAGTAGTTATTACATAATCACTGTAATAGAATGTTGTTTTATATTTCTAACCATAACCCTAACGTAACCCCCCTCCTAACCTTAACCCCAACCCAAACCATAACCCTAATTCTAACAAAAGAGGCATGGGAAGAAACACTGCCAATTGTTCGCCGCTGATACACGTGTGTTTCAAGACGAAGAAATTGAAAATCTTTAACCATAACCCTAACTTTAACCCCAACCTTAACCCTAGCACTCACTCTAACCCCTAATCCTAACTCTAACTCTATCCCTAATCCTAACAAGAGAGGCGAAGGAAGGAATGCTACTAATCATTCTCCGATATACAGCGTCGACAAACGCGAAAGACGCGGGGCGTAGAGTCAGCGTCTCCGCGCTTACGTTTTGAGCGGAGATGAAGGGTTGAGCTCCCGCTTGCTGTAGCTCATGTGCGCCTCGGTCTTGAATCCGTAACCGAACGCAGCGGGCCCGAACAGCGTACTGTAGCACGGCATGTTGCAGTAAGGAATCCCCTTGTGCTGAAACGACGACAGCGATGTGGTTAAACGGCGCGCGTGGCGGACAGGCTGACCTCAGACGCATTGTAACATGTGGTTTACAGTTTATGGCATCATTGTTTATTGTATGCATACGGCATTATAACGTGTGTCTACAATTATGTATATTGTTTATTGTATGCATACGGCATTATAACATGTGTTTACAGTTATGCATATTGTTTATTGTATGCATACGGCATTGTAACGTGTGTCTACAATAGTTTTGTTTTGTAATGAGCATAGCAGCATTGTAAGCAGGTGCGTTTTACAATTTAATGTATGTGTTTATATGTATGCATACGGCTATTGTAACATGTGTTTACCAGTTTAGCATATATGTTTATGTATGTTATACGGTAATTGTAACATGTGTTTACAGTATATACCTCAGCATGTTGACCGGGATTTAGTCGCTTGCTGCACTCCTCACATCGTAAACACTCAGGGTGCCAGTCAAATCCAAGTGATGTCCGTCGTTCCGCTACGAGAAAACCCATGTGAGACCGTTACACTGTAAATTCACCCGCGATCATGAAAAAAAGCCACACGATACAATTAGAACGGGTACTCTTTCTCGCAGCCAATTCAGTTCGTTGGGAATCTCAAACTAGTTGTTGTTGTTGTTGTTGTTTTTGTTGTTGTTGTTGTTGTTCAGTTTTATTATTATTGTTGTTGTTGTTGTTGTGTTGTTGTTGTTGTTGTTGTTGTGGCACTAGTTTGTTGTTTTTACCGCGGTTGCAGGATTATATGCTTATAGGTACATCAAGGTCGAAGCCACTTTTTTTTTACAAGTGGCCGCGATCGGGCCACGCAAAATCATTGATTTTCAATTTTTGGCTGGCCCGAAAATGAAATCTGGTGGCCCCGACAAAAAACAAAAGAAAAACATTTTAAAATCTTTATTCAATTCTATTGTATTTCATGATTGAAAATTGGCCGTCTGATGAAACTTGCACAAGTCTTTAAACAAACCACCACACAATGGCAACACAACTGACATTGATGATTGAGGCATACATTTGAATTATCCATTCCACGGTCATCAAAATTTTCAAAACCAGATCGCATACCATTTTTGCTACTTTCACTCATTATTTATCTAAACACGCGCGTGCACGATGCTATCGATCAGTTCAGACGGTTCAAGAAGATCAAAAGTCACAGAGCATAAGCAAATTTAAAACAAGTAATGTCCTAAAACAACTACCACATTGGCTTTTCATGTTAAAATAACATATACAATTTAATCTCATGAAAGTTAAAATGTCTGGCAGGCACTGAAACTGTTAAAATAAAATATTGCAGATTAATAAGATAAAAGTAGAACCATAATTTTATTCAACCAAAGTCAGCCTTGGTACGCATGCATTTAAAAAGAAAAAGTCAGGCCATGTTCAAAGGCCAACCGCACTACCAGACGATTTTTAGCAAACGAGGAAACGATGAAAACGATGAGCGATGTAGGGTGCGGGGCCTGAATATGCCAGAGCTGAGAAAATAAATCAATGCGTCAAGCGAACAATCAAGCGAACAATGCGAATTGAGTTGGAAATTTACACAAGCCACTCGCTACAACCGCTGTTCAATCTTTCGCAAGGTCACGCGCACACCCACAGAAAATCCGCGTCAACCATAAATCGGTCAAAATCAAAACATTGTTTGATTTTGGCAATGGGAAAAAAGAAAAGGAAATTACGTCCGATAAAAAAAATGCGTCTACAAATGAAGCCCGCACACCTACAGATCGTTTCATCGTTTCAGATCGTTTCAATCGTTTCATCGTTTGAAAAATGCGTCTGTGGGCGGTGGCCTAAGACTAGTTCAGTATATATTTCGTTGCATAAAGAGAGCAGAGAAATGCAATAAATAAACTTAAGCAAGCACTTAATATTAAACTTCGGATTAAAAATACTGATCAATCTTCATGGAAAGTTCAGTTATTCTAGCGCGAAATTCGAGACAGCTGGCAGTTCGCTTCGGATCCAGAAACAGTTGAGCAGGTGCAGTGCAGGCTAGCTAGCGAATCAGGGTGACCGACGTCCGTAATTTTGCCCATGTGGTCCCGCGTTCCGTACCGACCCTTCGGGAGCGCATGTGTGTACGCGTATTTTTAAACAAATTTTTAACAAAATACATGCAAAACAGGAAGAAATTTCAATCATTTTTTTATTATTACAATTGTTTTGGCGCTTCGAAACATCTCATCGCCGCGTTCATACGCCTCCACAGTACACCTGCAGGACAGGCGATTGTCTAGACGCAATTGTCTGGTTCGTCGTTGATACAATGTAATCACATTGCTTATTATGCTGGCGCTTGCAAAAATATGCTTATGGCCTGCGCCCGCCTCAGATTTTTGACCTCTGGCTAGACTGGTTCGCGGCCGAACTGTTCGTCGGGGGTAAAAAAGAAAAAAAAAGAGCGTGTAACATTGCTAGCGCAGAGGCGTGAGGCCGGATACCATCTAACACGAATAACCGTGGCTTGTTGGCAGCGGCAGGTAGAGGATAAACAGTGC